ACCACAAATTTGTATTAGGTCCACTAGACAATCCTACCTCCAACCACAAATTCAGATCGAGTTCTGGATGAGTCAAAAGATCATTAATATATCTCTCCTGCAATTGAGTGCTATATGTTTCTTGGAAAAAAAATAAGCACATTAAAAAAAAATAATAACTTAAGAAAATAAATAGTTGAAATCTAACATAACATGAACTTTTGAGCTCGACTATCCAAGAGCTGTTGCACCTCTTTCTACCAGTCATCAATTTGCATGAGAGTTTCTACAAAAAGCTTTATTAATCTTGATTCACGTCCAAGAATCATAACCTGCAAGAGAAAACTATTATTAGTTAAATATAATTAATAATAAAAAAACAATATTTTAAAAAAAGATAGATGTAATAAAGAAGAATATTATTATCCGCTTCACATGGGAAACAAACAGAATGCACACGCTAGTTGTGTGATAATGGTATAGTGAATCTCTCTATTCTGGTTTTCTATTTTGAATTGCAACCGCTATACAAAACACTTGAATATCGCGTGTTGAATGTATTTTATCCATATAGCCTCTAAGACGTGTGAATGTCTAAAATCCCTTCAAACCATAATGTCTTTCCAACCTGGAAGATCTCTTTCTTTTATATATTTTTAGGGTTTTTGTTTTTTGTTTTTTTTGGCACCTCATACCCAAAATCACACAACCTATATGGTAAAAATGAGTTAATTCTTAATAAATAAAATTTAAATAAAAATATAATATTAAATATTCAATCTTACCTCATTATATTGTGATTCTCTCAAACCCTCCTGACAACAACGTTGTCATCCTTATCCCAATAAAAATTTTCCTTTCATAATAAATTTATAAAAGAATTAATTCATTAAAATGAATAAACTAACTAAAATAACATGATAAAAAATTGAAGCATATATTAACCTTGAATTTTCTATACCATGCATCAATCATGGGTTTCCATTCAGGATTTTTAAAAACCTGACTCCATTGAAACAATTGCACTTTCATCAATGATTTAATCATCGATGTTATTATATGGGCAATCTTAACATTTGTAAACCTGAAATTGCATTCGTTAATTGAAATTAATTTTTTTAAATTATTAAATGTTCTTTATTTTTTAATAGTGAATGAAAGGAAAACAAAATTATATTGAGTGGTCGGGCTTTCATTAGGTAATGTACTTCCAAGTAAATGGTTCCCTCTTTAAACGGACCCCTCATTGGCGTGGCGGCATCACACTCAATGAACTTGTATTAAGAAAGGTTGCTTGTGCCTCTGGTGCATGTTCATGATCAATACGTAACGACTTATAGTCATCAAAAATGCTGCTAAAAAAACTAGCAATGATTATATTTGTATAACACGCTAATGACAATCCTATTTAAAAAAAAATCAACATCACCTTTTTCTATGCAGGAGATTATTCAAATTTCATTCACCTATAAACACACATCAATAATATGTTTCCACAAACTATTTGATTTTAATTAGAATTTCTCAATGTTTCTATCAATTTCTAAATAATAAAAAAAAAACATAAAAAATACGAGGAATGAAAAATTCTATTAATTCAATGTAAAATTAATTTAAATAAGTAAAAGACCTATTTTTAAAGTATATCTCTTCAAAATTCAAACCAACCATTTGTTCTTATATGCTCAAACCTAAATATTTGAATCACTTAGTAGATATTATTCTTAAGAAAACTCATGTACTTAATAGATGCATCATCTTAATTGTATTCATTAAGTGACATAGCATCTAAATTAATTTTTAAAAATAAATTAGACTTAATAGAAAGCTTATTTTGATTAATGTTTAACATTTTCTTAATAGACACACCACACAAATTTGAAACTATGAAAAATATTTAATAAACATATAAAATTTATTAATCAATATGCAATAACCTTAACAAAACAACATTAAATAATACCCTAAACCCAGAAATTAAAATTAAATCTGAAAACCAGAATATCCAAATAAAAAATCTAAACAATTAAGTCTTATAACCCTAAGCCTGGTAATCATTAAAGCAAAATCATCAAAACTCAACACATAACAACTACCAAAACACTTGTTAATAATATAGATTTATAGGGTATCAAAAATCAAATCTCATTAGTATATTTCAAACAAGAACCAAAACCTAGAAACAACTTCTATCAAAATAATACAGTTTTGGTTTCAACAAATTAAAGGAAGAAAAATGATATTAGAGATTTTACTTGGCATAAAGTGAGAGAGGAAAAGAATGAGAGTGAAGAATAAGAGAAGAACATGATAAGGAGAGAAGAAATGAAGAAAACATAAAGAGAGAAGAAAAAATTACAGTAAAGAAGAGAACAAGAGTGAAAAAAGATGAACTTTTGTAATGAAGTTAAGAATTCTGCTCTTTTAATTATTATTATTTTTTTATCGATAGAATTTCTAATGGACAATTAAAAAAAGTGAACCTGAAATTTTATATAAACCCCTCCCAGATATCACTGATAGAATTTCAGTCCATTGATGATTACATTTGTGATAGCTAGTGGTATAGGAGTATAATTTTTTTCCCAACTCTTTGGAATATACCTATGAACTTAATTCGTCACTGATACCGTCTGTATGTTCTAGTGAAATTGGAATGTAATTTTTTTTTCAACTCTCTAAATATATCAACAAACTTAATCTGTTAATGATTTCATCTATACATTCTAGTGGCATTGAAGTGTTATTTTTTCCTTAACTCTCTGGAATATACCGACGAACTTAATTCGTTGATGATTCCATCTGTAAGTCTTAATGGCAATACATGTAATTTTATTCTAACTCTATAATTTTTTTACGTATTTAGTCCATCAATAATTCTATTAATATAAAATATTTTTTGTGTCCAAATTATATATGTATTTCTTATTTATCCATCCTGCAAATATATTAAAATTAAATCATAATAATATTAGTTTTGTGTATAATAATAATATCATAAAAAATATTACATTCTTTGTCATGTAATAATAAATTCATGTCACTGTGAAGAAACATCTAGAAATATTATAAGAAAGTTAATTGCATTACATACTCATGTTTTATAAATTAATCAAAATTATCTTTTTTTTTCAACAATCTCATCATATTTATCTTTATCGTAGTTTTTTACATTGATTTTTCTATTGTCATCATCTTCATTTACTTTTGTATAAACATTGGTTCTCAGATCATTTTAACTCCTTAATGTCAAAATTGTACATTAGTCATGATATGTTGTGGATTATAAAAGTGGTATTATGTTCTTGCACTTGAGAAAGAAAACCATTATAATTGGTTTGCAGGGGTAGATTAGTATTTTCATAAAGTTTATTTTATCATTCTTTAATTGTTGGGAGGCATCTTTGTCTTTTCATAAACTTTTTTAGGCATTGAATATCTTTAACTTGAACACCTTTAAAAGCAATTTTTAACTTAACTATAGCTAGGGGTATTTTTGGTTTTTAGCTTTTTCAGAACAATGTAATGACTTTATCACCCTTGAAAGGAAAATTCTTAAAGCATCTTTGTAAGGGTCAATTCGTCATTTCATGATGATTTTTAAAAAATAGATGTTTGGTCCTAAAAATGATGTTGTCTTTCGACACATAAAAAACAAAAAGATGCTAACGTGTATATAGCACACATCAGCTACTCCGCTGTCTTCAAACAACGCATGTTGATGACTAGTGGTGTAAAACAATGTCTTATCATATCATTAGATATGTCTGGTGTTCTCTTTCTTCCTAAGCAGTATGTGTATGATGATAAAGTCCAGTCTAGTACTGGTTTAATTTTCTTTTTTTTCTCTTCATTTCTTTCTCATTTGTCTTGATTTTGGCACTACCTATAGAAAAAAAACATTACAGCCCTTGACTCTTTTTTTCTTGGATTCAATCCCTTTTTTTTTTTGAAAAAATCACATTAAATTGAAAAGGATTTTTTGATAAAATCCTTAAGTTTTTTTATCTCTTGAATTTAATCCTTACTCTTTTAAATTTTTTTTAAATGGTTTATAGATTATATTTGTTTCTTATGATTTTATCCTCATTTTTTTTTCCTTGACTCTTTCATCAAAAAAATTTATAATTTATAATTTTATCATTTCAATCAAATTTATAATTTTTTTTCAATAGTAATAATATATTAGTTTGATCATGCATTTTTTAATTTTTTATTTGTTTCCCTTGCCTTTTTATCAAAAAATTTATCATTTTTAATTTTATCCTTCATATCAAATTTATAATTTTTATCATAATAATAATAATTATGATCATTATCTTAGTTGAAAATTAACCAAAAAAATTTAACAAAGAACAACAAATAAAAAACTCGAAATAACCCCAGTTATTTTATAAATCATTAAAAAGTTCAACAAACAACAAACAAATAAAAATAACAAAACTCAATCTTCAATTGAATAAATATTTTAAAAAAAATAAAAGAATATAAACTTAAAAAAAAAAATTAACATCTAAAACTTGCAACCTTAAAATCTTAGATCAATAGAGAAACTCTAATTAAAATCAATTTAATATTGAAAAATTAAATAGAAAAAATAATAAAAATTTTAAAAATATATATATCAAAATACCAAAAAAAACAATAAAAAATAAACATCAAATTTAAATGGAAAAAACAACTATAAAGAATGAAATTGTAAATAATATCAATTTAAAATATTATTTTAAACAAAATAAATAATAATTAAAAAATAGGAGTAAAATTAAAAAGGAATTTTAATTTTATGAATTATTTATAAAATGTTATTTCAAATGTTGAATTATAAAATCTAAGAAAAAAATATTTAAAAAGCTAGCTAAGGAAAATTCAATAAAGAATGATAAATAAAAATATCTTAAATAACCCAAGTTATTTTTAATAAATAGTAAAAAATTCTACATAAAACAAATAAATAAAAATATAAGTCTAGTCTAGTCTCCAATTGAATAAACATTATATACCAGGACAAGCAAAAACACAGTTCATATGGAGGCATTCATCCAAACACAGTAGAAGGAATTTGATTTTTTAAGTGATCGTCATCTCATATCTCACTGATCTAGGGAGCAGAAGCACAAGATTACAAGGACACGATATTAAACAAAAGGGAAATGACTGGCCAGCAAAACTTAATGCCAAAGATGGCTTCACTACAACCAGTAGATTGTAAGTTGTCTTAGATTTTGTTGAAGGCAACAATATCACAGCTCTGAACATATTCGCTGCAAGGCTCGACTGTGAGACGCTCCTCAATGAGGGAATCCACTGATACAAGGTCATCGACGATGGTAAGCATGATCTGGAGCTTCTTGATTCCGTAGCCAACTGGAACCAATTTTGCTTAACAAAACCAACACATAATGGTTAGTATCACACAATCAAGTCAAGTGTGCGAGCAATAAATAAATAAAACTCCGTCAAGTCAAATCATACATGCTCCCCAAAAGAGACCGGGCATCTCAATACTCCTCCTAACTGCCTTCTCCAACGCCACCATGTCTGTCTCATCATCCCATGGCTTCACATCCAAGAGAACAGAAGATTTTCCACCTAAAGGTGGGGAAAAGTCAACAGAGCAGAATATAAAATGAAGTCATAAAAGGAGTTTTTTTTCAAAGTAGCACAGTAAGAAAAGGGGGGAAATAATACAATTGAAAACTTATTTAGCATAGATTGCAAAGTGTAGCATATCTCATCTGCATCTGCATCTGCTACGTTGCAGGTGACATCGACTTTTTAAAAGATGTGGTAGAGGCAACTTTGTTAATAAAAATTAAAAGCCATTTTAAATTTTGAATTTAAAAAATAATTACATATCATTTTTATCACAACTACAGTAAAAATAATATTTATTTACTTGTTAAAGATAATATTTTAAAAATAAATAAATATTATTGTGATAAAGATAATATTTATTTATTTATCTTTTTCTGTTTTATCCAAATCTATGTTAACCCAACAAAAATATTATCTTTATTAGATATTTTAATAAAATTGCCTCTGCCAAAGAAGTCACCGATGACAACTGCAATCATGAAACTTTAGAGTCGCAGTTGGCAGGTGGCAGCTGCACCTGCAACTGTGTTATTTACCCAGATAAGTTTTCAACTGTGTTATACAAGCACATGAACGAGGTTTTGGAGTGATGTAGAAAGAGGACCAAGGAAGCTTACTCTCTTTCTTCTTGGAGGATCCCTTTTTAGCTTTCTCCCTCTCCTCTGCTGCCTTCTTTTCCTCTTCAGTCTCATCACCAAAAAGATCCAAGTCGTCATCGTCGTCACCACCAGCAGCCTGAAACAGAACAGGGAAAACTTCTGAGTTCAATGCAAGCTAGTCAAGAAGTGTCCCTAATATCTTTGCCATGTGACTTGCACCAATGCAATGGACATTCCTAATTCGAAACTAAAGCACCGTACCAAATAGCAAATTCCACATGATTTGTGAATCACCAGCAAATTATTCTTAGACCTATCACTTTGACCACAAAACAGTCATCCCTGGCATGTAATAAAACAGTACAGAAAATTATTGTCTGAATTAAACAATAACGAACTATCATCGCATCCTACCTCTAGCACAACAGCGAGAAACAAAAGTCAAGCTTTAAATTTCAGCAGCAGCTGTACTCTCGCTGGTTCCAGTGCAGAAGTCTTCAACTTGCAGCGTTAAATTTGCAAGTTAAAGCTGCCCTATCTGGGTGTTACTGGATAATAAGCTCATGGCCTTTTAAATCGATTACATTATTTTACTCCCGGTTGGCAATGGTTTATATGCAGCAAAGCTAATCAAACCACAGTGTATAAGCTACATACGCATGGCAAAAGATCCAAACTTTGAGATACCCAATTGAAAACAAAAACCAGAAATCAACATTCAGTTATTAAGCAAAAATTATGAAAAGAAAGAAAGGAACCTCCTTGGCAGGGGCAGCTTCAACGGGAGCAGCGGCAGCGGCACCAACTCTTACACCGGTGGCTTTTCCTGGGAAGCTATAAATCAAAACACAAAACTCATAATTAATCAACAACCAAACCAAAACAAAATCACCCTAAGGTGCGAAATTGAACTTTGAAAAGTGAAAAATTGTTACCTTGAAGCAAGCTGTGAAGAAACAGAGTCATACCACTTGCTAGCATTAGGGAAGGCATCACCAGGATTCTCCAAAACAGCACCGTAAACTTTTATGTCATCTTTGGAAATCTGATCTCCGGAGATATAAGATTTTCCGGCAAGATACTCGTCCAGGGATTTGAGGCCGGATTCTGTGTGGATATCTGAGAAAGTGACTGCCATTATTGAAGATAATGATGAGAAGTATATGGATCTCTCTTTTTCAATCACTTGGAAGAGGGGGGTGCCAAAGACAGCGTTAAACAGTGAGATTGAAAGACGAGAATTGTGTGGAGTGGTAGTGATCGCTTATAATAGTAAAAGAAACCCTAGATTAAAAATCATGGGATTTGGAATGATTGATTGATGGATATTCTTTTGTCCTAATGGGTTGGCTGTGTGGTGGACTTATTATGTTGCTTTGGCCCATTTCCTCTCTTTCAAAAAACTCAACAATGCATGTTTCCAAAGAGATCATCTTGTCCATCTTATTAATGGTTATTTTTAAAACTAGATCTAGCAGGTAATTGGTGGATCAGGTGTTTATAGACCGCTCTCGATTAAAAAAAAAAACTTAATTGACTTTTGATTTAATAAATTATTTGTTTAAAATTTAATTTTTTTTATATGTTGATATATTTTTTAGTCAAAATAATATTATTTTAATATTTTTAAAAAACAATTGAATGTCAACCTCAATCTCAACTCCATACTTTGTTTATTAGAATAAAAAATAATATAATTAATATATTAAGATTGTATTGATAGAGATTCATGTTGAGAAGGATTCTTTTAAATATGTTTGGATATTACAAAAAAAAAAAACTACAATGATGGTGAATTAACTATTTTTCATGACACTTTTCATTGTAAACGGATGAATAAATTTACTACATTACTTTAAACAAAAAAGAAAAACCTTTGAGTACAGATTAAGGGCATTGTTATTTTTTTATTTGGGGTGTTTTGATATTTTTAAATTAATCAATAACAAGATAGATTATTAATTTAAAAATACACTATAAATTATCATAAATACTCTTAAGATTAATACATTGTTTGGTGTCATTGAAAGGTAGATTTGTATTTTTATTTAAAAAATACACAATAAAATAACCGATTTAACTTTATAAATAAAACATTTCAACTGATGTTTTTGTCTTATACATTTTATTTTCACAATAAAAATGTCTCCTTGTCTTGGGTTTTATTTTTTATGTCTTGGATACGAGGGTATTTTGATTATTGTAATATTGGTTTTTTTATTGTGTAAAGTGATAATTAGTTTTGTCTTTTAATAAATTTAAGGGATTTTAGATTAAAAAATAATAATAATAACAAAGTTAACGCATGCATCAGCGTATCAGCCGCTTTGCTGTTTTAGGACGATTTATACAGTTGATTTTGGTAACCAAAAATACCATTCTAGAACATCTTTAAATTTATTTTGGTGTCTTATCCATGTAAAAGTGGCATGTGTAGAAAACGAACCTCCAATTTGACTTCGATGACCATTTTTGTTTTTTTCCCCTCTCTGCCCCTCAATTCTTACACCTTATGCTTTAATTTTTTTAATCAGCCCCTTAACTTCTCTTTGTTTTTTATTTTGACCCTAATGTTTTTGTTGATATTTGTTTTATTTCAAATAACTTATGAAAATCCAAATTTATTTCAATTTCATCCTCATTTTATGTTTTTGCTTCTCTTTGTTTTTTATTTAGTCTCTGATGTTTTGGTTGATACTCCTTTTATTTGAAATAACTCATGAGAATTAAATTTTTTTCAATTTTATCCTCATTTGATTGTTTAAATTTATCTTATTTAATCCTTATTATTATTTATATCATCTAAGATAATTTTTATAGTGTTGCTGTTTTTATGATTTCACCCTCGATCATTTTTTTCCTATTAGATTTTGTCCTTACTCTTCTGTTTTTTTTTTTTGCTTTGCTAATTGATTTTTAGTTTTGTGTTTTTTACACTAAATTACATTTTTTAACATTAAGTTGAATTGGATTTGAGTTTTTTAGTTAACCCTACTTTGGAATTCCACATATTCCAGTTTGAAAAATTAACACGGCTTAAAGATGTTCACTAGAGATTGCTTTTTCTTTTTATCATTCCTTTAAGTTAATGTTTTTTCAAATTTTATCCTTCGATTGTTAGTTTATTAAACATTAAGCTTTGTGTTTTTTTATATATTTTCTACATCCTTTATTTTTTTTATTTGGTTAAGTTATTTGGGGTCTTTTTATGTTTTGTGCTTTGTTAGATATATTTTTTAAATATTTTTTATTTAATTAAATAAAATTAATTGATTGAATATAGATGTATACTCACTTCACTATGTTTTGTTCGGTTTGCTTTTACAAGGCATTACTCTAGCAAACCATACAACTTTTTCAATGTCATCTTGCATGCTTTAGCAGTAGAGTTTGAACCAACTAAGCAAGTTCTTTTGGTTATGGGCGATGTTCATGGTTAAGTGGCGGTGGTTCTTCAGTGATCTTTTCTCTTTTTTCATTACAAGTATGATATCGATGTTTTATTTTTTTTGTTTAGTATTGCCAAGTGTTTTTTATGGTTTATTTTCTATTGTTACCTTTGATTTAAACCAGATTACTAAATTAATTGATTTTATTGGATATAATCAAGTTAATGACTTGAGTATCAAGTTTTCTTACTTCTTTCAAAACACTATCAACTTGCGACATAATGCGAGTTCTCAGTCTAATAGTATGAACTAAAAGAGGTGGTGCTTTTACAATGCACCTTCTCACAAAACATGATTCATTTCAATAGTGTTCTTTTTTTTTGTGCCTTTGGTTTTTTTTTCCCCTGAATCTATATTTCTTTTCCTAACTTCATACTTTAATAATTAGGTTATTGAATATTAGAATTCATAATTTATTGTGGTTTATGTTATACATAGTTAGTTCGGTCTCATAACTCGTGTTATAATTTTAGTGAATTAACTTGGTTAACTTGAGTTTTTTTGTTTCAATTCCATCCTTCAACTTTAGTATTTATTTTGGTTTATTTTGTATGAGTTTATCTCAATCTCATAACAGGAATCGCAGGTTTGGTAAGTCAACCTAGTTGACTCAATTTTTTTAATTGGTATTTTTATATTTTATCCTTCAACATTGAGTTGATTATGAATGATGCTTCATAATTTATTTTGATTTGCTTTCTATGAGGTTATTCTAGTGTTATGACTTGGGTTATGTTATTTGTGGGTTAACCCAAGTAGATTTAAATTGTTTTATTGTGTTCTGTTTTTGGATTGATTTTTTTTTTCATTTACAACCTTTAATAATGAGTTTATTGAAAATTAGGTTTTATAATTTGTTTTGATTTGCTTTTTATGAGATTATCAAAGTCTCATGACCTTGGTCGCGATTTTGGCAGATTAATCCGGGTTGATTTAAGTTATTTTTTTGTTTACTTTCAATGAAGTTATCCTGATCTTATTACCCAGGTCACGAGTTTGGCATGTTAACTCAAGTTTTTTTTTGTTATTTTCTAATTATTTTTTTCATTCCATTCTTCAATATTACGTTGGTTAGAAATTGAGCTTCATAATTTTTTTTATTTTGCTTTATATAGAATTATCATGGTCTTATGATCGGTGTCATAAATTT